TTGGCATGCAGAGACCTGTCTTTAATACAGAGTATAATTTAGCACCTTAATGAACTCCTAAATTTCATTCTCATCAGTCTTTTAGCAAACTTTCTTTGTGAAAGTTCATCTACCTTTTAAAAATATAAATTTCACAATGTTAAGTACTTAACTCTAACAATATCATCGGAACCAAGCAAAATAAAATTCCTGAATTACTTAGTAAAGTAATAATCATGATTAATGTTGTTCTAATCTGGAGTTAACTTTTTGTCCAGTCGTATAATCAATCATAGGCTGACCACAGACCTTGAGTATAAATCAATATTTGATTAATCAAATGGAAGGAATGAAAAAAAAATCGAAGGTAACAAAGTCGTTTGCTAAACTCGGAGTCACAAATATGTCTGTCCTGTTGGGAAGGCAGATCAATTTTTGTGTTATCCATAATCCATTTCATACTCCTACAATCTATTTTCTCATTCCATGTACTGATTGTATTTAGCTAATAAGGTAAGGAATCAAGCCACTCAAACTTGGCCTTGAGAACTAGTTAATAATCCATTTGTTGTTATTGATTTAGCATCAAGTCCTTGATGAAAAGTTGCAGACACTTCAATGTTAAACTCCAAGTTCAAAGCATAAATTAATACGTAGTACGTTTTTATCATATCTTGATGTTAGGATTAACAGTTGCAATGATACTATTTCTAAATACACAAGCTGAAAATATAGATGATTAAACGAAAATTGTAAAAGTAAGATTTGATGATATACCTGGACGTCATTATAGCTTCTTTGATTCAAAATAATTTTGGCTCCGCAAAAGGTTGTTAATCTGAAAAAGGACGCCACAGCTACATCCGAATCGACCTCTCTTCTATCAACATCAAGCATGAGGACCGTCTTCCTTTTCCTCACATAATATGAATCTGACTTCTTCTTGAAGGGAGCTACAGTACGAAGAGGGGATCGAGTTCCATTTTAGGACTGTAAAATCTGGTAGAAAGAAAGACAGCATCACCAACGAAAAAGAAGTAAGTTCTTTTTTGGTTATGTTATGCTCTGATAATGGATAGGGGTGAGAATCTAGTCCTTAAAAGGTCGATTCGGTTGACTCTCCATCGCCGGTTAGTCCCAGACATACGAAGGAGGAAGTCAGAATGCTAGATACACAACGCCATTGACAGTGGCTTTCTCCAAATTTGCAGCAGATCCGAATCAGATTCGGCGGATGGCGGCGCTATCACCGGCGATTCCAACTCTCAACACAAATCCGATTCAATTGAACTCCTGGTGAACATTCGGTGCTGAAGTTCAAATCGTCTGAAGCTTGGACGACGGAGAGACACAGTTCTTCCATCTCTAGTTGGCAATCACCGAATGGAGAGAACTCCAATCTAAATTTCAATCGGGCCTGATTTAAGACTCACCCCAAGCTATAACCTATTTTTGAAATAAAAAAGTTTATGATGAAAAGTTAAAAGTTTAAAATTGAAAGAAATATTATCGGGTGATATAAATGAAATACGGCAGAGAAAAGGAGTCCAAACGGGTAATTTCCACCTAAAAATAAGCAATTGAATCCTCGAGCATCTTTTAGAATAAATTTTCTGCCCTAACTTAAAGAAATATTACATATTTATTTAAATTTCTTGGAGCTTACCAGTCAACGTTAATTGACTAAAATAATAATAATAATAATAATATTAATATAATAATAGTAGTAGTAGTAGTAATAATGAATGATAAGTATAACTAGCTCGTAAAATCGGGGTGTTACAACCCCTCCCACCTTATAAAAGTTTCGTCCTCGAAACTTAAGTGCAACTATAATAGCTTTATATCTTTTACAATGTTACCTTAAAAAGCACATGACTTTAATGCTTCAAGCTTACGCTGACATTTCTTCTAATGACTAAACTGATCAAATTCTACCATTGGTAGAAATACACAACTACTTCATATAATGACCAAAACAAATACTAAGAAAACTTTCACTGTTTAAATTGACTTCTCATGATCTCTCTTGGAGATACTACACAAAATCACAAGCTCACAACATAGTCTATATAAACGAAATAGTTTGACCTGTTTGCATATTGATGTGAAATAGAAAGTCAATACCAAATTTTAGCCTCGTCATAAAAACTTACCCCACATACTACTAAAAATGAAAATCTAGAATCACATCCTACTGGTATGCTTACACAGGTCAAACTTGTCTTTTAATTTTTTTTTTAGTTCTATCTGAAATTCATCCTTGATTGCTGAAATTTTGGCATTACAATATCTATAAACATATTTCATTCTCTTTCAATTTTAAGCGTTTCATCCTCACAATACGTTTACATAGTGTGGAAGGATCGAGTTTTCTCTTTCACCATTTCATCTCTTCTATCAGCATATTGCTTCATTTATGTTATAACCCCACCCCTGTTTTTTTTTTCCTGGCTATCTCACAAGCCTTTCATGATAGCAGTGTTATGAGACTTTTTTTTTAGCATAAGAGGGGATCTTCTTTCTTTTAATAATCTACTGTAATTTGTCTTACCTAATATAACAAAAGATTCTCTTTTTACAGTTTAGAATAGATTAAACTACTAAACTCTTTTTTTTTAACCACTCAAGCAACTCAAAACATCTTTTCATCAAAAGAAAATCTTTGTTATGGTTCTGTACCTCTAGAACTAAAACCATAACTTCATTGATTAGTATCCCGAAGTAGTCAGGAAGTTGAATCAGATTTTAAATTAGAATTTTCATATTATCTTAGAATTTGAGCATGAAAACAACAACTATTCCTAATAAGATGAGCATCAGTTTCTTTCAATTCTTGAACACAATTTATTATTTGAAATTTGAAATCCATAGCCTTAAATATCTAGAGAAAAAATCTTCTTGTGGATAAGTCTTTTGTGAATAAGTTATATTATAAGTTTTCTAACTAAATCTTCTTGGACTCCCTCTAGAAATCAGAATGTGGGTTAACAAAATAGTGTTAACATTATAAGGATTGTTTTGCTTAATTTTAAATTTTCATATTTCATAAACGAACGACGTAATAAATGTTCTGATTAACAAAAGTTGACATCGTCAAATACATAAATGTCAGGTACAAAAATACCTAAAAATAGACAGTCAAGGTGAGGAGCTGAATTATGACTAGGTTTGGGACTTCATATTAATTTCAATTATTTCACCCCTTTTCTATGGTGACTCGGAGTCTATCTCTTCGCTTACTCAATTAGCTATAGGGTGACTAAGAAAATGTTATGGACTTATCCCCCTTTTTTATTAAACCATTCATCCTTTCGCTGATCAAAATGTGTTATATTCGAATAACTAGTTCATAAAAAAAAAATATGTGAACTTGTGGACTGTTGGTAAGCAAGTAATTTTTTTTTTTAAGTGATTCCCCCCAATCAGAAAACCCAATACTTGTTTTAAATTACTTCCAAAATTCTTTTAATTTTTTTTTTACTCTTTAGATTTCAAATGGAAATGGTAAGCTAGTCAAAGAATCTAATAAACTGATCAAAGGATCTAATAATAAGATGATCAAAGGACATACACTAATATCTTTCAAAAGAAAATCTAATATCATAGCTAGGTTCTTCTTACTGGTTTCATATATATTCTTAACTTGACTGACACTAATTTAATCAATAATAATCACATAGCACAACTTACTCGACCATTGCTGGTAACTTATAACTAAAGAATAGTTTGTGGTGCCAAACTTTTACACTCTTTATTCCCACTAATACCTCTATCACTCAAGGACCATACCAGCTACCAACCCGAGCGCATTGGGATACTGTCTACGAATACTCATGTTCGTACATAATGGCTACTACTTCATGTTTGGACTGCTTCCTGTTTGTACTCATTATCTATATATTTACTATTTTTTCGTGGCTACTACATAAATGTTTACTTCGTGGACTAAAAAAAATGTTTTGACACCCACTCCGAAGGTGTTTTCTCGACTTTACAAGATAGATTACTATTTTATTTAGTCTCCGAGAATCTTCACGGAAATTGAAGGGTTCCATAACATCTAGTTTTAGCCAAGACCATTGGTCCGAACCATCCCTCAAGTTTTAAACTTACCCACTTGATTAAAACCAGTTAAGCAACCCCATAAGGTTCATTATTTCATTCCTCCATATTACTCCATGGGGTCTTTATTATATCAGTTTAACAACTACATAAGGTTTATTATTTTCTTCTTTAATATCATGACATGGAAATTTTGCCATAATAGGCTATAACCATCAATTATCTACATAAACGCTACTCTCACTGGAAGCCAAGGCTGTTCTCCATTTTTACCTTGTTTAATATTTAGTTCTGGTCTATTATACTCATCAACCTATAAGGATGATTGAAGAATTTTATACGCAACTAATTTCATTTACCAGATTAAGCCCAAATAACTTTTACCTCAAGCGCCTTAGATCGCATCTTAATTTCATTTTCATCCTGACTAACACAGTAACACTTCTTAATCCTTGACACGTTTGCTAGATCCGGGCCTACTGCCTAGCCTACCCGTATGATTTACAACATTTCAATGTAATGAATGCACCTCACACAACCATACGTATCCAACAATTGACTTAGTTCACCTATATGAAATAGTGGTTATTCTTATATGCCTTTAACTACTCACTTACCTGAGAGATGTCGAGCGGTGCGTGGCAATGGATGGAGTTACAGAAGGACCTGGGCTCTGATACCAAACTGTAACGATCGTCCCCAAAACGGCCATTACGACACTCAACATAAAAGGGACTCGATAAACCAAGCGGAAATAAAGATGCAAAGCCTCAAGCTGAGACTCTATTTCTTTTAAAATATAATCAAAACTTACACCCAAAACGAAAGACATCCAAAAGAAAACACCTTTAAAACTCTTACACCTGATCAGGATTTTTAAAACATTTCAATGTAATGAATGTACTGAAACAAATCTTTGAATGTACTGAATGTACTGTAACAACTCTTTGAAGTACCAATGTACTGAAACAAAATATAACCGACAGCCAGATCTTCTCTGTTAACCCATCCAAAACCTTGTCACCGGCTCCATCCATTCTCTCAGGCTTCCATACCTTGTTTATTACCTATACATGAGAACATAAGAGAATAGAATTCTCGTAAGCAATAATGCTTAGTAAGTCACCATTTTATCCACTAAAAACATTTAGGGAAACTTAGCTAATCATAATTAGATACCCATGCTGAATACACCACATATATACTATAATCACTGATTATAACAACACATAAGCATTCATGTATCAAACACCAAGAGACTTCCTTATTCATCATTCTTTCTTCTTATCTTATTCCTTGACTGTATGGGCCCGTAGCTCGTGTCCTGGCCCCTCACCGATGACCTTGGGTAGCTAGCCCGCAGCCATCAGAAGCAACCCCGGGACTCCCCGCGGAAGGATGTCCCACTACGCTCAGCTCAGGTAGTTACTTGGGGGCACGGCTACCTTGTAACATTACTTATTTTTCATTTCTCTCATTATCATCATAACTTCCTTTCATCGTTGGTTCCACATGAATCCAACCCAAAATCAAACATAGAACTTGAAATTCACATATCTCATGCCACACAATTTCAAGTATGCAAGCACATACATATAATTTGGAATTCACGTATCTCATGTCATACGATTTCAAGTATCCAAGCACATATATGATGTGCTTGTATTTTACACACTTTTTAGGCTTAGTTTGTTAATAATTTTGGTCACTTAATTTGTATATTTGTACATATTTTTATTATTTATCATTACTTTGTACGATGTGTAGTTATATGCATGTATTTTGTATTTCCAGGTACTTTTGATACTATTTGATACATTTGTGTGTGAAGAAAAGAAGAAAATAAAAGTTCAAGTTGGAGGTCAATAAAAGTGGAATTTCTTTCAAAGCAAATAAGGAGTAAATTGAAGTTAAGAAGCAAAAATATGAAAACACAGAGATGGGATTCAATCACTGAACCACGGGTAGAGGAAAGCCATTCAAAACCAATGAGCTAACTTGCCAATGTTGTACACAATCAGCCGACAGTTTATATATTGCTTGTGACCACATCAAAGAAAAAATGGAATAAAAGTCCGAAGCCAGAATCGAACCCGCGACCTCTGCTACATGCTTAAACACTTCGTCCACTGGGCTGTTACGCACTGTTTGAACTTCACTGCGTTTTCTTTTACATATACTCTTCACGTTCGTAAATTCCAGCAAATTAATGATTAATTATCTTATCATTATAAGGCTTAATCCATCTCCTTCCACACATAATCTCGAGCCAACTTCTCTCTACACCTCCCAGAATCATTTCCTCCTCCTTCTCTCTTCATTCTTCATCTCCAAATCATCAACCAATCTTCAACATCAATTAATCACTTTCTCAATCAAGATTAAAGTCAAGATTAGCACCAAGCTCCAAGGATTGTCATCTATCACAAGTTTGATCTTCCTTATCTCTTTAAATCTTGTACTTCAATCATGAATTCATCTTTTTCTAAGCTTCCCAACATGTATAGCTAAATAAATTTGGGGCTAGAAATTGGTTAATTAATTGTTCTTGTCATGTTTTAATTTGTATTGATTTTAATTGTTAAGTTTGTTCTATTTAGATTGTTGTGTCTAGAAAATTAATTAAGTTATGTTTGTGATATATATTATGAGTACTCAATCATAAACATATTGTTTGTTAAATACACAAATGAACACTTTCTGAACACACCGTTAAACTTCTTTTACCTTGTCCCGGATTGAAGTTTTACGGGAGAATTTAATTATTTAATTATATTATTTACACCACGGGGTTGGGTAAATAATATAGTTAATAATTAAGGTTGTCGTTGCACTTAAACAACTAGTCTCGTTTTGGCCATCACTGGGAAATGTTGACTAGTTACTTATTTTAGATGACTTGTGTTGGGTCCTAAAATATTTATCCACAACTTCTCACAATCTATCTACGAATAAAATTAGCAATTATTTCTTTCAATTAAACATTGAACAATTAGTTACCAATTTCTACCCCTACTTACTATTGGTTGAACTTTGTGTTGATAAAAATCTCTCATCTCAATCACTTTTATTTTATTACTTTTCCAAGCAACCAAAAAAAAATTAAAAGAAACGCACTCCCAACTTTAATCCTTAGTTTGTGCTTAATTATTTTATTTCCCGCTTCTCTGTGGTTCGACACCCTACTTCCTTGGGTAAAAAAAATAGTTGCGTGCCCATTATATGCTACGCGCCAACTTGGCGCCGTTGCCGGGGAAGCGGTTTTGAAAAAAAAAAGTGAAAGCATGAACTTTTGGTTTTAGTTATTGTAAATTGTGTGTATATTATTTTCTTGTTATCTTGTTTACTTTTGCAGGTTAAAAAAAAATCATAAAAAAGTGATTAATTAAAGTTCAAAAAAAAAAAAAAAATTGAACTGTGATTAATTACCTTACCTGAGCATTGGAGTTGGACTTGTTGACTGAACATATATCTGGACATTTGGACCATTGGACATATTGTCACATTTTAATTCAACGGATAATCCGCCTATATGGTCGGACCGCTAATTTGTACATATTAATTCAACGGATAATCCGCCTATATGGTCGGACCGTTTACTTGTACATAATAATTTAAAGGATACTCCGCCTATATGGTCGGACCAACTCTTTAATTTCTGCACTTTAATTATCGCACTTTAATTTCTGCACTTTAATTATCGCACTTTAATTTCAGCAATTTAATTTCTGCATTTTTATTGCATCCCCAAGCTTGTCGGCCGTGTCCGCTTGTTGGTGGCGTGCACTTTTTATTTTATTTCGTAATAATCCCCAGACTGTCGGCACAGCTGCATCTTGGCGGAGACTGTATTTATTACTGTAGTTATTTTTTTTCTTCTTCTCAAATCACCATATCTGTCGGCCCTGCCGCATCCTGGTGAATTACTGTATATATTAATACTGCTTTAAGGGCTCACTAGTCTTATTCGGTTTATACCAATTGACTACGTGCGAACCTTAATTAATTAATTAATTTCACATTTTTTTTCTTTTTCATTTCTCTCTTTTCCCAATCCCGATTCCCTTCTGCTTATGCTTACACGTTCACGTGGTGCAAATTGTGAATTGTTATTCTTCTCTGACATTGAAAAGCACATACGTGAACAGAAAAAAATAAAAAAAATGTCAAACGATGTTGTTGTAAATGAGCAGGAACGAGATCAACAAATCGTGGATCAGGTTACAAGGACCAGGAAACCGTTGTATGATTATGTTACGCCTCCCGTGGATGAGCATGACAGTGTTATTCCACCGGAGGTTAACATGAACCAATTTGAAATCAAGCCTGCTATCATCCACATGGTTTCAAATGATCGATTTGGCGGAGCGCCAACGGAGGATCCAAATAATCACATCACAAAGTTCCTTCGAGCTTGCAACACCTTTAAAATCAATGGTGTGCCATCTGATGCTGTCAGACTACGCCTATTCCCATTCTCTCTACGGGATCGAGCTCAGAGTTGGCTTGACTCTTTTCCAGACAATCACTTCTCCACTTGGGATCAACTTCATGGTGAATTTCTCAAAAGATTTTTTCCGCCATTTAAAACGGCGAAAATCCGGAGAATGATTCAAAATTTCAAGCAAAATCCCAATGAGCCCCTCTATGAGGCTTGGGAAAGATTCAAAGATCTTCAGCGACAGTGTCCACATCATAACATCCAAAACTGGCACTTGATGACGGCTTTCTATGAAGGCCTACATGAAAATTCTCGGATACTGGTGGACGCGTCAGCAAATGGATCATTCATGTGCCTAGAACTTGAAGAGGCGGAAGAATTGATGGAACGCATTTCATCAAATGGATCAACATGGTATTCTGAGCGATCATCTGCTCCACCAAAAGTTGGAGGCATGTACGAAGTTGATCAAATGTCGACCATAACCACAAAGGTCGATAACATTATGACTCTGATCCAAAAGATGGCACAAGTCTCTCTTGTGCAAGACCCTGCATCAACTCCAACTCCTATTCCCGTTCTTATGTGTGGATCTTGCGGTGGACAACACAATCAGTCCACTTGTCCATGGGGATCAATGGAACAAGTTGACTATGTCAACTACAATACGCAGCCCCAACAAAATCAGTTTGGTAATTTCAATCCTCAAGGAAGAAACCATCCCGGTTTTTCCTGGAGCAATCAAAATGGAGCTGCTAATCCACAACAAACTTACCGAAGTGCACCACCCGGTTTCCAAAATTAACAACAGCAATTCAGAGGTGGACAAGGTGTTGTGAACCAACAACAATACAAACCCACTCAAAATCTTCCATACCCTTCAAATCAACAACAAAAACCACTTCTACCCACTCCTGAAACAGCCCAAACTCCTGTCCTAGAAAACATTGTTGACCAACTTCTCAAGTCCCAATTATCTCAAGCCGAAACCCTGAAACAAATCACCGAAGAACTTGGTCAACTTCGAGCTCACAACAGGATGCTTGAGAATCAAATTGCTAATCAAGCATCTACATCATCAACTAAGGTGACGGGTAAGCTCCCTGCTTGTCCTGAAAATCCGAGGGAGCAAATGAATGTCGTCAGTACTCAGTACTCCTAGTGGGAAGCAAAATCAATCCTTGCCCCTTTCTAGTGACGAACAAGAACATGAAGTGTTGGAGGAAGGGGTCGTGCAACAACAGAAAGGTGGAAACAACAACAATGAACATGATGTCGGTACCATGCCGAAATCAACTGATGACCATGAAGGATCAAAGAAACAAAGAGAAAGTCCGGTAAGGAAATACATTCCCCCAGTTCCTTATCCGAACAGATTGAAGAAAGCTAATATGGAGGAGCGGAGAACTAAATTTTTGAATGTTATCAAGCAATTGGATATCTCAATTCCTTTGCTTGATGCCATTACAGAAATTCCTTCATATGCTAAATTTCTCAAAGATATTCTCACAAAGAAGAAGGAGAATCCAGCCACTGTTGCAATGAGTCAAGAATGCAGTGCCATCATCCAAAATAAGATCACACCCAAGTTATGTGATCCTGGAAGCTTCTCAATTCCATGTACCATTGGTGGATCCAAAGTTAACAAAGCTCTTTGTGATCTTGGTGCAAGTGTCAGCTTAATTCCTTATTCACTATGTCAAAAGCTACACTTGGGGGATCCCAAACCAACAACGATGGTATTACAATTGGCTGATCGATCTGTCAAATATCCTATCGGCATTCTTGAAGATGTTCCTATCAAAATTGACAAGTATTATATCCCAGGAGACTTTGTTGTCTTGGATATGGAAGAAGATGCTCGAGTTCCTGTTATTCTCGGGAGACCTTTTCTAGCTACGGCAGGAGCAATTATAAACGTCAAAAAGGGTACCCTTATCCTTGAGATTGGGGATGATAAGATCGAATTCAATGTACAAGGGCTGAGTAAGGATATACCTTGTATCCTTGATGGTTACTATGCTGATGTTATAGACTCTTGTACTACTAATACATTTGATGAGTCGTATCGGCTTTCTAAAGATCCCATGGAGTACACCATACAAGAATCTATTGCAGATGAAATGGTGAATTTATGTCTCGAAATGTTGCAAAGCATATTTTTACCAATGCCTAAAGCACTTAAATTTGAAGTGCTTAATCTTGAAGATCAATCCTTGAATATCAAAGGAAAAGCACCCAAAGTGAGAGACAAGAGGCAACTTCTGTGTATTGCCTCACTGATCCAGAATATGAATGAAAGGCATGGGTCAAGCTAATGACCTTAAACGAGCGCTTCTTGGGAGGCAACCCAAGTTTGTAAATTTCTCAAAAAAAAAAAACACAAAAAAAAGAAAAAAAAAAGATTAGTCTAGGTTTTCTTTATTTCTTTGGACTCTAAAGGGGCCACATCCGCTCAAAGGGATCTCCAAACGTCATGCGGATAAACAATTCCAGATTCGGCCGCGCTTCAGGGAAGTTTTCTTTACACTCCTTTAATTTCTTTTCCACTGAGGACAGTGCAAATTTTAAGTGTGGGGGAGTGGGTAGTTCGACCCTGATTTCTTGTGTGAATATTTTTTTTTTCCTTGTGTGCTTGTGTGATTTTGTTTTATTTATTTTGTGTGTTTTGTTTGTGAATAAAGACCAGTCTTGTCCAAAATGCAACAATAGACCAACAACACATTAGTTTACACTTTTTGTTACTAGTTACCTCCATAACTTTTTAAATTATTCATTCACCTCTTTTGACGAAATGTGGTTTGAGTTTGAGAAGTGTCACTGTAATTTTTTGAGAGTAACTTAGTATGAGCTTTGAAATTGATTTTTTTTTGTTAATAATTTAACATTAAACACCTTAGGTTTTATTCTTCCAATTTATTGGTTTAATAGTTGAATTAGTGAAAGTTTATGCAGTTTAAGATGTTCATACATTTATTCTCCTTGAAATTTTATTTGAGCTTGGCACATTAGAAATGATTTAGGCCATCTTTGTTTACCCATCAAGCCAAACACTATCCCTTTGTAAATAAATAACACTTTCCCTAGTAACCCTGTTTGAGCCTTTTCAGTGTACAAGTGTAAAATAACTTACTTCACTTGTTACTAATTTTTCTTGTGACCTTGTAAATACATAACCTTGTGAAATCCTACCCAAGTCATTTTTGTTTGAACCCTAGAGTAGTTTGTATTGTTACTTGAGAGTGGATAAAATGGAGCTTCTGTTAAGTGTTATATTAGTGATGTACATATTTGTTTGTAAATTTTGGGGTTAGTTTTTCATTGTAATATTTAGTGTGTGCCTTCTTAAAAAAAAGTTCAAAAAAGAAAAGGAAAAAAGAAGAAAAAAAAGTAAAAAAAAAAAAACAAACAAAGAGGCACATTAATTTCTTGTTGTAATTTCTTCTATAAAACCCCATTTTTTTTACTTCCTTTTCATGTTTATATTTCTCATTGTTTTGTATGCTCCAAATTCTTGTAAATTCATGTGATTATCCGCTCAGTATAAGTGCAATCTAACTCTCTTTGTAAATCCCTACACCAAACCTTTCTTTCCACTAGCCACGTCATTAACCTCGCCAAAACCCGAAAAGTCCTAATTGATCTATTTGTGTCATTTTTTGAATTAAGTTAATTGGAGAAACTTGTTCTGCATAACCCGAACTAATTCAGATCTATAGGTGTTTGTGTTAAAAGTAGTTTGATTTGAAAATCTTAGTGATAGGCAATAATACTCGGTTTACTCTCATTGAGTTATTTTGTGACATTTCAGGGTATTGGACCGTTTAGTGGACATTAGAGGTGTATGTGTGATTTGTTTAGTTATGTTTGTAAATTTTACCAAATTGTGTATATTTTTGTGTTTGTTGTTTATTTTGCTTGAGAACAAGCAAAAGCCTAAGTGTGGGGGATTTGATGTGCTTGTATTTTAGAAACTTTTTAGGCTTAGTTTGTTAATAATTTTGGTCACTTAATTTGTATATTTGTACATATTTTTATTATTTATCATTACTTTGTACGATGTGTAGTTATATGCATGTATTTTGTATTTCCAGGTACTTTTGATACTATTTGATACATTTGTGTGTAAAGAAAAGAAGAAAATAAAAGTTCAAGTTGGAGGTCAATAAAAGTGGAATTTCTTTCAAAGCAAATAAGGAGTAAATTGAAGTTAAGAAGCAAAAATATGAAAACACAGAGATGGGATTCGATCACTGAACCACGGGTAGAGGAAAGCCATTCAGAACCAATGAGCTAACTTGCCAATGTTGTACACAATCAGCCGACAGTTTATATATTGCTTGTGACCACATCAAAGAAAAAATGGAATAAAAGTCCGAAGCCAGAATCGAACCCGCGACCTCTGCTACATGCTTAAACACTTCGTCCGCTGGGCTGTTACGCACTGTTGAAACTTTACTGCGTTTTCTTTTACATATACTCTTCACGTTCGTAAATTCCAGCAAATTAATGATTAATTATCTTATCATTATAAGGCTTAATCCATCTCCTTCCACACATAATCTCGAGCCAACTTCTCTCTACACCTCCCAGAATCATTTCCTCCTCCTTCTCTCTTCATTCTTCATCTCCAAATCATCAACCAATCTTCAACATCAATTAATCACTTTCTCAATCAAGATTAAAGTCAAGATTAGCACCAAGCTCCAAGGATTGTCATCTATCACAAGTTTGATCTTCCTTATCTCTTTAAATCTTGTACTTCAATCATGAATTCATCTTTTTCTAAGCTTCCCAACATGTATAGCTAAATAAATTTGGGGCTAGAAATTGGTTAATTAATTGTTCTTGTCATGTTTTAATTTGTATTGATTTTAATTGTTCAGTTTGTTCTATTTAGATTGTTGTGTCCAGAAAATTAATTAAGTTATGTTTGTGATATATATTATGAGTACTCAATCATAAACATATTGTTTGTTAAATACACAAATGAACACTTTCTGAACACACCGTTAAACTTCTTTTACCTTGTCCCGGATTGAAGTTTTACGGGAGAATTTAATTATTTAATTATATTATTTACACCACGGGGTTGGGTAAATAATATAGTTAATAATTAAGGTTGTCGTTGCACTTAAACAACTAGTCTCGTTTTGGCCATCACTGGGAAATGTTGACTAGTTACTTATTTTAGATGACTTGTGTTGGGTCCTAAAATATTTATCCACAACTTCTCACAATCTATCTACGAATAAAATTAGCAATTATTTCTTTCAATTAAACATTGAACAATTAGTTACCAATTTCTACCCCTACTTACTATTGGTTGAACTTTGTGTTGATAAAAATCTCTCATCTCAATCACTTTTATTTTATTACTTTTCCAAGCAACCAAAAAAAAATCAAAAGAAACGCACTCCCAACTTTAATCCTTAGTTTGTGCTTAATTATTTTATTTCCCGCTTCTCTGTGGTTCGACACCCTACTTCCTTGGGTAAAAAAAATAGTTGCGTGCCCATTATATGCTACACACCAATATATCATATTCACAATTAGCTAACCTTCCACACTTTATTTAGAACTATCATGTATAGGTGGTGGTGACTTACCTGTCAAAAGCTGAACTTAATTTACTCAGATGTGTGGCACCTGATAATGTCTTCCGATAAGCTCTTCTCTTAAATCTTTAATTTAAAATAATATTGTAAGAACTCATTTTGTCCAAAATCCAAAACTGTTAAAACTTTAAATTGACAAAACTGCTATACGGTTCTAAGCTACTGGTAGTTCAATCTAAATGACCCTGTTTTGTACTCAACTAAGGATTTTAGATGAAGTAGTAAAATGCCCTGGTAAAATACCAAGTAAACAATGCTCCTAGCAAGGTAAATTGCTCGGCCAGTCTCTATTGAAGAGGAAAATTTAAGGCAAAGAGAACTTTGATTTCTAAACTCACTGTAAAACTGTTTTGGTGAAACCATACCCAATGGCAGGAACCTGCTCCAAGAAGATTAGAAGACTTAACACTCTTCATCTTAAATGAACATAACCCAATGTTCGTATATGTAAGAAAAATGTGTGGGTAAAATACTGAAATTGGAAGGAGGATTAAAAGTATAGTTTAGATTCACGAAACTAGATGTCCATTGAAATAGCAGTACTTTGTATTAAAAGGAATCAAGCTACTGATTGTTGTTTAAACTAAACCAAAGAAAAAGAATCAACTTTACCCAACATAAATACCCTAGGTTCATGCTTCTAGAGGATCCCAGCGGAAGGTACATGATTAGGGAGGATAGAATTATACTAACCAGATTCATGATTAAACTCGAAGAGAAACTCTTGATTGAAGAATTCCAGTAGAAGTATTTTCAGAAGATAAGACGCGGGTAGGCTCTACGGAGAGAATGAAATAGCGTACATGCTCTAAATTTTTTTTTTAGGTTTGGCTGCTATGTATACCTCTAGGTACGGTGACTTCCTTGAGGCTTTTAATAAAATAGCATCTGGTCAAGTTAGCTGATTTGGGCCCTAAGTATTTAATATGAGTGCACTATATTGTTTGTGAAGTCACTTACCCAACGTCAAAGCTTCCTCCAAGGGGGAGATATACAGCACCATCAATGTAGTGTTGCAAGAGTCCGACACTACTGTTTGTGGAGATTGCCTTTTCTGCAGTGAAACTCCAACCACCGTAAGTAACACCAAATGTGCCAATGATCCCTCACTCATCCTTTGTCCTTCCATTAGCTTTTCTGATCGACCCAAAATTGTAGAACGCACACATTGAGAGCTTGAATTTCGGGGTTTAAACATATTGTGGATCTTGTGAGTATAACTAAGTTCTACGTTTATGATCATTGAATATAGACAATTCTCATGAAAGTTTAAAATACATAGGTAGTATATATAAAACCTTCACAACTTTATGCATGTTTCACCTGATAAAAATTTAGAACTTGACCGAAATTTGTCATGTATGCTTTATGTTTAAAAGATTTGGTTATAATTGAAAATTTTGTCTTCGAGCTGAGCACTAACCTTTAGAGTTTTCTCTCTAACTAAAGTAACTTTTGAAGCTTAAAAAAAGTTTTTATATTATTAATATAAAATTTACGAAAAAATATGACCAAGGTTAATCATGCTTTTATTGTCACTATTATTATATGGGATTTGAAATTAAAGAAGATGTAGTCACTAAAATTTACTATGTTACAATTTTGTCTATTATCTTTATTTTGGTTCACATATTAGGAGTTATTTCATTTAATTAAAAGTATCAAAATTAGACTAATTTCATAACTTATAGCTATCTATTCTAAAATTATTCAAAGGTATGCTTTTGAGCAAAGATAATTGGCGTCAATAAAGAAAATAATTAATTCATTTTAGACACTTCATCGGTGTTCCATAATGCATCATTAGGCACCTACCGCAGAGGCGCATATAACTAAAGTATCGGGTCAAGAAGTGAGTATATGGACGATCAGGATATGTAAAGTTGATACGTTTGTAATTTCCGTGTGTTTATTTACGTTTTTAGTTAGTTTTGGTTGTTTAATATTTCGGAAATTACACACTTTCGGTGTAATAGTTTAGTTTGTTAAATTCTTGTAATTTGTTTAGATTAGGTTTATTCTGAGCTTAAACAGGTCCAAGATCAATCAAATGATCAAAGGTGAAGGAAGGTGCAAGAGTAGAAGACAAAAAGAAGGAAAAATTCCTGATTTTAGGGTATACTCGATCGAGTATACCTTATACTCGATCGAGTACCAATACTGATTTTCAAGGATCCGATCCGGGAACAAATGAACATGCAAGGAAAGATTTGGCCACGTTCTATTGTCATACCCGATCGAGTACACCGACATACTCGATCGGGTATACATATAAAATCTACTCGAGTATTGATCGAGTATTGACCAAATTCGGGTTTCTACACATACTCGATCGAGTATATGTACATACTCGATCGAGTACTCGGCCTGCACCTCAAAAAGCCTATAAATACACCTCCTTTCCTTCACAATAAAAAATCAATTCCTTTATACTCCTAAGCTCAGTTTAGAATAGCATTTCTTTATATCTCTTTTAGCATGTTTAGTCTCCAAATGAGGAGCTAAACTTCCATTTCTTGGTGTTGCTCTTGAAGCTTGTTGATTATTAAAGTTGTGAGTTATTTTCTTAACTTCTTTCCTTGAATATTAATACTTCTCTTAAATACTATTTCTATATCAATGTTGGGGAGTGTTGCTAAGATGACAATTAGTTAACATCTTGACATTGGTCTTAGTAATAGTTATTCCTTCCTCTATGTTAATATTGGGGAGTGTTACTAAGATGACAATTAGTTAACATCTTGATATTAACTATAGTAGGATTCATTTTCCTTAATATTCTTCCTTGAGTATTAATTAATTCCTGTTCATATTTGATACACTTGTAATTTCCGTGTGTATGTTTACGTTTTTAGCTAGTTTTGGTTGTTTAGTATTTCAGAAATTACACACTTTTGGTGTAATAGTTTAGTTTGTTAAATTCTTGTAATTTGTTTAGATTAGGGTCATTCTGAGCTCAAACAGATCTACCATCACTCAAAGGACAGTTGGTGAACCCCAAAAGTGGAAGGAAGGTGCAAAATCACAAGACAAAAGGGAAAATCCTGATTTTGGTCTATACTCGGTCGAGTATTACCTATACTCGATCGAGTATAAGGTTGAAACTTCAAATCGGATCGGATCCGAAGACAAAGGAACATGCCGGGAAGATTTTGGCCACGATTTAGTGTCTATACTCGATCGGGTAGACCGACATACCCGATCGAGTATGCCTTTGAGTTTAAACCCGAAATCGGTCGAGTATGGCTCGAATATCACTTTCTGCACATACTCGACCGAGTATGAACATATACTCGATCGAGTATACCTCGAATCTGGTATTTCTACACATACTCGATCGAGTATCTGTATATACTCGATCGAGTACCCGAGCCTGCACCTCAAAAAGCCTATAAATACACCTCCTTTCCTTCACTAAAAAAAACCAATTCTTCCATACTCTTAAGCTCAGTTTAGAATAGTATTTCTTTTATATTTTTATAGCATGTTTAGTCTCCAAATGAGGAGCTAAACTTCCATTTCTTGGTATTGCTCTTGAAGCTTGTTGATTATTAAAGTTGTGAGTTATTTTCTTAACTTCTTTTCCTTGAATATTAATTCTTCCTTTAAATACTATTTCTATATCAATGTTGGGGAGTGTTACTAAGATGACAATTAGTTAACATCTTGACATTGGTTTTAGTAATAGCTATTCCTTCCTCTATGTTAATATCGGGGAGTGTTACTAAGATGACAATTAGTTAACATCTTGATATTTAACTATAGTAGGATTCATTCCCTTTAATATTCTTCCTTGAGTATTAATTAATTCCTATTCATATTTCATATTAATATTTTGAACATTACTTAAAGGATCAACTAGTTTTGTTTCATATATTAATTATTACTAGAAATGATCAACGAACCGATGGTTAATCGTTGATAGTTTCACAAGTAAGTAACTTCGGTTTATTAATGCACGGTCGTGGTTAATAAACTTAAGAGGGATTAATTTTGTTGGTTAAACCGAAACCGTTGTGTTAAGGTTATCAATCTCAATTGATTTCATCAAGGAGTTAAAAGATTAAATGCTACTATCAAGTCGGTATATGGCGTTGTTCTATACTTGACTAATAGTAAGGGTTATTAATGAACGGTCGTTGTTAATAACTATCCTCGATGAATTGGATATACTCCTCGATTGAGTATTCGAGAGGAGATAAGTTATAGATATAACAATGATCGACTAAAATATATCAACAAGTGGAAAGTAGCAATGCCAAGTCACTTTTATCTTTGAATTAAATCTCATATAACTCGTTCATCTTCACGTTTAATTTAATTAAATCATTCAACCCAAAACCCCCTTTTATTTACTAGTTACATAAAAAGAGAATTATTCCTTTCCCTGTGGATACGAACTCTACTTCACCTATACTACGTATAAGTGTTAGTATTGAATTTATTTTGAGTGCACTCACGACAAAGTGCACGTCAATATTTCATATTAATATTCTTGAACATTACTTAAAGGATCAACTAGTTTTGTTTCAAATATTAATTATTACTAGAAACGATCAACGAACCGATGGTTAATCGTTGATGGTTTCACAAGTAAGTAACTTCGGTTTATTAATGCACGGTCGTGGTTAGTAAACTTAAGAGGGATTAATTTTGTTGGTTAAACCAAAACCGTTGTGTTGAGGTTATCAATCTCAATTGATTTCATCAAGGAGTTAAGAGATTAAATGCTACTATCAAGTCGGTATATGGCGTTGTTCTATACTTGACTAATAGTAAGGGTTATTAATGAACGGTCGTTGTTAATAACTTTCCTCGATGAATTGGATATACTCCTCGATTGAGTATTCGAGAGGAGATAAGTTATAGATATAACAATGATCGACTAAAATATATCAACAAGTGGAAAGTAGCAATGCCAAGTCACTTTTATCTTTGAATTAAATCCCATATAACTCGTTCATCTTCGTGTTTAATTTAATTAAATCACTCAACAATCAAAACCCCCTTTATTTACTAGTTACATAAAAAGAAGAGTTATTCCTTTCCCTGCGGATACGAACTCTACTTCACCTATACTACGTATAAGTGTTAGTATTGAATATTATTTTGAGTGCACCTCACGACAAAGTGCACGTCAAATTTGGCGCCGTTGCCGGGGAAAGGCAATTGATTTTTCTTTTTATTTCAATCAAAAAAAAAAAATATATATATATATATCATATAAAGATTTCTATTTCTTTTGAGCTTTATAGTGTATGGTTAAATATCGTTCTCTAAACGAGATCACCTACCAATCAAACCCAGAAATAGAGCAAACTCTCGAGCGATTGAAAAATAAATTCTCAAGTACCGACTCGGGAGAATCATCAAGTGCTAGCCCTCTATCTAGCGACACCGAGGAGCCAATCATCATGGCTCACGAGACAAGGACCTTAAGGGAGCTCACTGCTCCAAACCTCAATCAACAACCGTTATGTATTACCTTCCCTACACTCAATGAGGGTAATACTTTTGAGCTCAAATCGGGGCTTATTCATCTACTTCCTTCCTTCCACGGGCTAAGAGGAGAGGATCCAAACAAACATCTCTCGGAATTCCATATTGTTTGCACAAGCATGTGCCCAAATGGAGTTACCGAGGAACAAATCAAACTGAGGGCTTTTCCATTCTCCCTCAAAGACACCGCTAAGGATTGGCTTTTCTATCTTCCTTCGGGAAGTATAGGTACATGGGCGGCTATGAAGAAATGCTTCTTGGAAAGGTACTATCCCGCCTCCGTCTCATCATCTTTGAAAAAACAAATAAGCAACATCGATCAAAAAGATGATGAGACCTTATATGAATATTGGGAACGGTTCAAAAAGTTATGTGCTAGTTGCCCTTATCATGGCTACACCGAGCAAGACCTCATACTCTACTTTTATGATGGTC